CTGAGACTGCACCACTGCACTCCAGCCTGGGCGACAGGGTGAGAGTCTGTCTAAAAAAAAAAAAAAAAAAAACTGGGAAGATCAATTTCTACGTTTATTCAAAGAAACCATAAATATCAGTTCCATGGGGACAATTGTGCTGGTTTCACCTCAAGAACTAAACCCTGGGCCTCCTTTCCTGGTGGACAGGATGGGCTGGAGCTGAGAGCCGCTGCTCACTCGTCCAGCTTTTGCTTCATTGCTCTATCATCTGCGTGGTATTGGCGAAACTGCCAGGAGGGTGCTATTGGAGAGCAGGCTGGGTTTCTGCCAGGGACGTGACCTGCGTGTGACTCAGGAATGCACCTGCATGTCTCGGCTCACCTGGAGACAACATCAGCTGACATTCCTGATGGCATGGAGAGCAGGAAGCATGCTCAAGGGCTTCTATCATCACTTTGGGATTCCTCCAGGTGACCGGCCCAATGCCTAGCTCAGAGAGAAGAGACTTTCTGCTTTCAATGTGAGAGCAGAACCCTCATCTGCAGGTGCGTGGAGTCTCCTTACGTGCAAGCTTTGGAGCTGAGTGATCCTCCCACAGACCAGCGCCTAAATAAACTTGTGGGATAAACAGCCGGTGTGGAGGAGGGAACTAAGGACTGGAGTGAAAGGGTACATGAGTGGGGGAGGGACTGGACATGCAGAACACTCATCTCAGACAGGTGTATTGGGGTTCAAACCCTGGCTCGGTTCTCCAGGGGTATACGAATTTACATTAGTCACCTAACCTCGCTGAGCATCTGTTTCTTTAAAAAGAAGGACTACCGCCGGGCATGGTGGTTCATGCCTGTAATCCCAGCACTTTGGGAGGCCAAAGTGGGTGGATCACCTGAGGTCAGGAGTTCAAGACTAACATGGTGAAATCCCATCTCTACGAAAAATACAAAAATTAGCTGGGCTTGGGGACTAACGCCTGTAATCCCAGCTACTTAGGACGCTGAGGCAGGAGAATTACTTGAACCCGGGAGGCGGAGGTTGCTGTGAGCTGAGATCACACCACTGCACTCTAGCCTGGGCGACAGAGCAAGACTCCATCTCAAACAAAAACAAAGACAGAAGGGCTTGAATATCTCACTTCCTAAGAATGCTATTAAGATAGAATGGGGAGCCAGGCACAGTGGCTGATGGCTGTAATCCCAGCACTTTGGGAGGCTGAGGTGGGTGGATCACTTGAGGTCAGGTGTTCAAAACCAGCCTGGCCAACATGGCAAAACCCTGTCTCTACTAAAAATACAAAAAAATAGCTGGGCGTGGTGGCTTGCGCCTGTAATCCCAGCTACTTGGGAGGCTGAGGCAGTAGAATTGCTTGAACTTGGGAGACAGAGATTGCAGTGAGCTGAGATCATGCCATTGCATTCCAGCCTGGGCAACAGAGTGACACTACATCTCAAAAAAAAAAAAAAACAAAAAACAAAAAAAAAAAACAGCAGGGCGCAGTGGATCACGCCTGTAATCTCAGCACTTTGGGAGGCCAAGGTGGGCGGATCTCGAGGTCAGGAGATCGAGACCATCTTGGCTAATACGATGAAACCCTGTCTCTACTGAAATGCCAAAAAATTAGCCGGGCATGGTGGTGGGCGCCTGTAGCCCCAGCTCCTCGAGAGGCTGAGGCAGGAGAATGGCGTGAACCCGGGAGGCGGAGCTTGTGTAGCAGGATAAGCCGTAGACAAAACCTCTCAGACACCGAGTTGCAGAAGGAAGGGCTTTATTCAGCTGGGAGCATCGGCAAGCTACTGCCTTAAAATCCGAGCTCCCCGAATGCACAATTTCTGTCCCTTTTAAGGGCGTCACAACACTAAAGATTTCATATGAAAGGGGTGTGATTTTTTTTTTTTTTTTTTTTGAGACGGAGTCTCGCTCTGTCGCCCAGGCTGGAGTGCAGTGGCCGGATCTCAGCTCACTGCAAGCTCCGCCTCCCGGGTTCACGCCATTCTCCTGCCTCAGCCTCCCGAGTAGCTGGGACTACAGGCGCCCGCCACCTCGCCCGGCTAGTTTTTTGTATTTTTTAGTAGAGACGGGGTTTCACCGTGTTAGCCAGGATGGTCTCGATCTCCTGACCTCGTGATCCACCCGTCTCGGCCTCCCAAAGTGCTGGGATTACAGGCTTGAGCCAGAAAGGGGTGTGATTGATTAAGCAATCTAGGGGATACGTGACAGGGGTTTCATGCACTGGTAGTCAGAGAGAAACAGAACAGGTCAGGGAGTTTCACATTGTTCTGCTATACAATGTCAGGGACATCGGTTTCTAAGTCAGGAGTTGATTTTTAACTATTGGGTTTAGGCCAGGCAGACCCAGGCCTGGTTCTGGGCCTGGTGCCAGGCTGCCTGTCTTTGGTTTTACTTCATTGTTTTTTCTTAAAACAGGTACTGAGTGTAAAACAATATAAAACAATATGAGAGGGTCTCTCTCTTTCCTCACTTGCAGTGAGCCGAGATTGCACCACTGCGCTCCAGCCTGGGTGACAGAGCGAGACTCCATCTCAAAAAAAAAAAAAAAAGATAGGATGAGGGTTGGAGGAAATGTGGTAATGATGGTCAAAAGGTACAAAATCAGATCGGGCGCAGTGGCTCACGCCTGTAATCCCAGCACTTTGGGAGGCTGAGGCAGGCAGATCACGAGGTCAGGAGATCGAGACCATCTTGGCTAACACAGTGAAACCCCATCTCTACTAAAAATACAAAAAATTAGTGGGGCGTGGTGGCAGATGCCTGTAGTCCCAGCTACTCGGGAGGCTGAGGCAGGAGAATGGCGTGAACCCGGGTGGCGGAGCTTGCAGTGAGCCGAGATCTCACCACTGCACTCCGGCCTGGGTGACAGAGCTAGACTCCGTCTCAAAAAAAAAAAAAAAGAAAAAACAAAAAACAAAAACAAAAAAAGTACAAAGTCTCAGTTAGGAGGAATACTTTTTTGGGAACTATTGCACAGCCTGGTGAATGTAATTAACAACAGTGCATAGCACATTTCAAAACTGTTAAGAGGTCAGGTGTGGTGGCTCACGCCTGTAATCCCATCACTTTGGAAGGCCGAGGTGGGAGGATCACTTGAGTTCTGCAGTTAGAGACCAGCCTTGGCAATATAGTGGGACTCCATCTCAACAAAATAATTTTGAAAATTAGCCAGCCATGGTGGTACACAGCTCTAGTCCCAGTTACTTGAGAGGCTGAGGTGGGAAAATGTCTTAATCCTGGGAGGTTGAGACTGCAGTGAGCCGTGATCATACCACTGCACTCCAGCCTAGGTGACAGAGTGAGACCCTGTCTTTAAAACAAAAAAAATTGTTAAGAAAATAAATTTTAGGCCGGGCGCGGTGGCTCAAGCCTGTAATCCTAGCACTTTGGGAGGCCGAGACGGGCGGATCACGAGGTCAGGAGATCGAGACCATCCTGGCTAACACGGTGAAACCCCGTCTCTACTAAAAAATACAAAAAACTAGCCAGGCGCGGTGGCGGGCGCCTGTAGTCCCAGCTACTCGGGAGGCTGAGGCAGGAGAATGGCGTAAACCCGGGAGGCGGAGCTTGCAGTGAGCTGAGATCGGCCACTGCACTCCAGCCTGGGCGACAGAGCGAGACTCCGTCTCAAAAAAAAAAAAAAAAAAGAAAAGAAATTTTAAACGTTCTCGCCACCAAAAAATATAAGTATTTGAGGTGATGGATGTATTAATTAGCTTGATTTAATTATTCCACATTGTATTCATAAGCCATAACATCATATTGTATACCATACATACACACATGGTCAGTTGAGAATAAAATTAAAAAAAAAATTTAAGTATGGCAATGAAAAAAAAGATTGAATGGATAAAAGGAAATGCTTCCAGAATAGTGGAGCAAGAATCTCCAAAAACCCACTCCTCCATAAAAACAAAGAAAACGCTGACAAAAATGGTCAAAATCAACTTCTTCTGACCTGGAAATTATCTAAAGGCTTGCAACAATTTGAAGAGGATGTGTTCAAGTAAGAGGGCTGAATCTCAGTATAAACACTGATTTTGTGGCATTTTAATTTGCTCTAAAAGCATCCCTGTCTCCCAGATCCATGAAAATATGCCTGCTTTTAACCATGGTAGCTGTGAAAACAAGCATCTTGCCAGCCACTGGAAGAGGCAGGCTGGGCTTGGAGTTCCCTAAAAGCCCCATCCCCAGAAAACTGTCACTATTTGACTTGTCTGGCAGTTTGCTGAAAAATGCTATTCTCAAAGCTTGTCTTTATTTGATTCAAGAGTTTGCCAGTATCTCTGCAAATAGCCCTGTGGCCAAGGCATTTGTCCAAAACAATCAGTGGCAATTGTTTAACATTTCAACTACCTGATGCCATGTAACTGTGGCAAGGCAAGGGTTAAAAAGAAAAGACGAACAAGTTTTCCTCTGCTTAGCCAACTCACTTCAACTTCAAGGACAGTTACAAGATAACGCCGTCTGAAAAGTCGAAGCCAAAGGAATGGGCTCCAGACACCTGCCTCTTGAGCAAAGTTGAAAAGAAAAAAATTCCTTCACTGTCTCTCCTTCTCTGAACCATTAATTATGACTATGTTTGCCAATGCTTGCATTTAGTAAGATATGTATATTCTCTTTTTCTCCCTAATCCTCTATTTCCCACAACATAACTCGTTGGGGCTAAAAAGAAACTGACCAAAAATTTTTAAAAGGAATAACTGGGAAAAGAGATGTCAGTAAGATATTTTTTTTAAAAACCCTGCTGTGTTTCTGAGAATCTGGTGGGCTACATGTATGCAGAGGACTGTGCGCACGCCCAGGAAGACCTGAGAAGGTCCTAAACTCTCACCTCTGACTGACCTTGAGTGTCTACACAAGAGGAAATGAAGGCTAAGGTAGAGTTGTAAGTTGCTTGCTGGAGTATTGAAAACATGCCTCAACACACACAGAGTTCCTCAGCAAATGCTGGGAAACTTAAGGGTCTAAAGCATTTAAAAAGATCTCTTTTTAGTTTTAATTTTTTTTAAAAAAATACGGAACAATTCATGAATTTGCGTGTAATCCTTGCATGAGGGTTAGATAATCTTCTCTGTATCATTTTAATTTTAGTATATGTGCTGCTGAAGCCAGTAGACATCTAGGAATATTTCTGTCCAGTTATTAGCTGGCCACTGAGATGACTAAGCAAAGTCTTCAGTGGTTGCACAGAACAAAGAACACAGATTTTACAGAGTTAAGTCCAGAAAAGTCACTAAACAAACAACAGCAACAACAAGCAACAATGACAACAGCAAACCCCAGGAAGTGGGGAGAGAGGAATTTGATTTCCAGAAGTGCCATATTGTTTAATTTAATTTTGTTTTTCTTTTGTAGAGACAGAGTCTTCCTATGTTGCCCAGGTTGATCTCAAACTCCTGGGCTCAAGTGATCCTCCTATCTTAGCCTTTCCAAGTGTGGGGATTATAGGCGTGATTCACTGCGCCCAGCCATAGACGATGATGTTTGCCAGGCCAGGTGTTTTGAATGCGTTTTGACTTACGATATTTTCAACTTAAAGTAGGTTTATCAAGACATAATTCTGTTGTAAGTTGAGGAATATCTGTATATGCATAATGGGAGTCCCAGAAGGACAGGATTGAGAAGAGGGGGAAAAAGAATATTAGAAGAAATAGAGGGTGAAAACTTCCTGAATTTGATTTTAAAAGCATTAATCTAAATGTTCAAAAAGTTTGATGAACTCCAAGTATGATAAACTAAAAAATGATGAACAACTAGGCACATTATAGTCAAACTGTTGAAAGTCAAAGAGAATCATGAAAACAGCAAGAAAAGGGTAATTCATGACATACAAGGGCCTGTCAATAAAATTAACAGCTGAGTTACTATCAGAAAAAATGGTCACGATCCGGTTTTCCCAGCACCACTTGTTTGCAAAGGCAATTCTTTCCCCCTCAAACTGAAACACTTGTCCAAAACATAAGGGCTTGCTTCTGGACTCTTAATTCTATTCTATTGATCTAATGTCTATCCTTATGCCAGTACTACACTGTCTTGATTACTGTAGCTTTGTAGTAAGTTTTAAAACTGGGAAGTGTGGGCCAGGCGCAGTGGCTCAAACCTGTAATCCCAGCACTTTGGGAGGCCTAGACGGGCGGATCACGAGGTCAGGAGATCGAGACCATCCTGGCTAACACGGTGAAACCCCGTCTCTACTAAAAAATACAAAAAACTAGCCAGGTGTGGTGGCGGGCGCCTGTAGTCCCAGCTACTCGGGAGGCTGAGGCAGGAGAATGGTGTAAACCGGGGAGGCGGAGCTTGCAGTGAGCTGAGATCCGGCCACTGCACTCCAGCCTGGGCGACAGAGCAAGACTCCATCTCAAAAAAACAAACAAACAAACAAAAAAACTGGGAAGTGTGAGACTTCTAACCAGATACATCTGTTTTCCAGGTTGTTTTAGCTATTCCAGGTTTCTTAATTTTCCTTTCTTTTTTTTTTTTTTTTTGAGACAGAGTCTTGCTCTGTCGCCAGGGCTGGAGTGCAGTGGCCGGGTCTCAGCTCACTGCAAGCTCCGCCTCCCAGGTTTATGCCATTCTCCTGCCTCAGCCTCCCGTGTAGCTGGGACTACAGGCGCCCGCCACCTCGCCCAGCTAGTTTTTTGTATTTTTTAGTAGAGACGGGGTTTCACCGTGTTACAGGATGGTTTCGATCTCCTGACCTTGTGATCCACCCGTCTCGGCCTCCCAAAGTGCTGGGATTACAGGCTTGAGTCACCGCGCCCGGCCAGGTTTCTTAATTTTCATAGGAATTTTAGGACCAGCTTGCCAGTTTCTGCAAAACTACAGTCAGAATTTTGATAGGAATTGTGTTGACCCTGTAGGTAATTTTTGAGAGAATTGGTATCTTAACACTATTAAGTCCTGGGCATGGTGGCACATGCCTGTAGTGCCAGGTACTTTGGAGGCTGAAATAGAAGGATCATTTGAGCTCAGATGCTCAAGTCCATCCTGGGCACCATAGCAAGATCTTCATCTCTAAAAACAAAAGCAAAACCCACAATATTAAGTCTTTTGATCCATGAATATGGGATGTGTTCCTGTTTATTTAGGTCTTTCATTTCTTTCAATGATATTTTGTGGTTTTCAATATACAAGTCTTACAGTTTGTTTATTTGTTTGAGATGGAGTCTCTCTCTGTCCCCAGGCTGGAGTGCAGTGGTGTAATCTCAGCTCACTGCAACCTCCACCTCCTGGGTTCAAGCCATTCTCATGCCTCAGCTTCCTGAGGCTGGGACTATAGGTTCACACCACCATTCCCGGCTAATTGTTTTGTGTTTTTAGTAGAGACAGGGTTTCGCCATGTTGCCCAGGCTGTCCTTGAACTCCTGACCTCAAGTGATCCACTCACCTCGGCCTCCCAAAGTGCTGGGATTACAGTCATGAGCCACCATGCCCGGCGAATCGCTGGACGTTTTAGATAATATATTTTAGCAACTCTGACACTTGATTCCCCCAACTCCAGGCAGGGGTTGTGGTTATTGTTGTTTGTTTGGTGACGTATTACTTTGTGACTGGGCTGAACAAGTTTCACCACCACGATCCTCATCTCACACTATGCAGACTCAGATGTCCCTGCTCAGATTTTTTCTTCCTGTTTTTAACCTTTTAACTTGGCTACCTAGGGGTTGCCCCTGGGTCAGCATAAACCACTTAATGGTTAAAGATTGTGCTTGGCCAGGCACGGTGGCTCATGCCTGTAATCCCAGCACTTTGGGAGGCCGAGGCAGGAGGATCACTCAAGCCCAGGAATTCAAGACCGGCCTGGGCAACATAGCAAGACCCCATCTCTAAAAAAATAATAAAACAAATTAGCCAGTCATGGTGGTGCATGCCTGTAGTCCCAGCTGCTTAGAAGACTGAGGTGGGAGGATTGCTTGGGCCCAGGAGTTTGAGGCTGCAGTGAGCCATGATCATGTCACTGCACTCCAGCAGCCTGAGTGACAGAGTGAGACTTTGTCTCTCTCTCTCTCTCAAAAAAAAGTTATGCTTAATCCCCTTGGCCAGTTAGATTTTTGCCCTTTCCCATTGGATGTGTGTGTGGCTTGGAAGCTGCTATCACCATTCAGAGCATTTCCCCTTTTGCCCCGGGGTCAGCCTGGGACTGGTAGCTTGGCATTCCCCCTGTGATCTTTCCCGAGAAGGCGCAGCCTTGGGCAGGCAGCCTTCCGGATGGCCGGGGATGGCTGTGACATCATCTTTAAGCCTGGCTTCCTCAGAGTCATCGCTGTGCCAGAGCGGCTAATCGCTTGTTCCGTGCTGGTCACAGCTTATGCTAAGCCCCTAGTGCCTGTGACGATGGGTCTGGGTGCGTGTGGGGAATATTTTGGGTCTACTGATTGCTTCGAGTGGGTGCCACCAAGCACAGGTGCATAGAATTCCTGACCACTCCCCAAATTTGTGTATGATCCCAGTGGAGATATTCTTGGCTCTCTCTTTCTCTGTTTCTCTCTCTCTCTCTCTTTTTTTTTTTTTGGAGACAGAATCTTGCGCTGTTGCCCAGGCTGTAGTGCAGTGACACGATCTTGGCTCACTGCAACCTCCACCTCCCAGGGTCAAGTGATTCTCCTGCCTAAGCTTCCCGAGTAGCTGGGACTACAGGCACATGCCACCACTCCCAGCTAATTTTTCTATTTTTAGTAGAGACGAGGTTTCACCATGTTGGCCAGATTGATCTCAAACTCTTTTCTTTTCTTTTTTTTTTTTTAAACGGAGTCTTTGCTCTGTCACCCAGGCTGGAGTGCAGTGGCACGAACTCGGCTCACTACAAGCTCCGCCTCCCGGGTTTACGCCATTCTCCTGCCTCAGCCTCCCGAGTAGCTGGGACTACAGGCGCCCGCCACCTCGCCCGGCTAGTTTTTTGTATTTTTTAGTAGAGACGGGGTTTCACCGTGTTCGCCAGGATGGTCTCGATCTCCTGACCTTGTGATCCGCCCGTCTCGGCCTCCCAAAGTGCTGGGATTACAGGCGTGAGCCACCGCGCCCGGCGATCTCAAACTCTTGACCTCAGGCAATCCGCCCGCCTCAGCCTCCCAAAGTGCTGGGATTACAGGCGTGAGCCACCACGCCCGGCTTCGCTGCCCGTTTTTATGTCAGAGATCTGTTGGTGAGACTGAAGCCCCTGTCCTACAGAAGGTCCCGCATTCTGGGTATGGCCAATTGCGTTCCTGTCGTTTCGTTTAACACAAAGATGAGACTATTCTTGTCTCTTTTACTTAGAACTAGAGGAAATCTGTTTGGGCAAGATTTCTGTGATTTCCGTAGGTCAGAGGGTGTCTGTATTTTAAATTTTGACTTGTGCTGCTGAAAAGGTTGCACTAATTTACAGGCCTCTAACCCTGTATGGAAATGCCGTTCCCACCCCGGCCATAAGCAGAGTCAACCCTTAATGTGATCTTTCAATGTTTTTAATAGAGACAGGGTCTTGCTTTGTTGTCCAGAACTACTCCTGGGCTCAAGCGATTCTCCCACCTGGGCCTCCCAAATTGTTGGGATACCAGCATGAGCCACTGCGCCTGGCCTACTTTGATCGTTTTAAAATTTTTTTTGAGACAGGGTCTTGCCCTGTCACCCAGGCTGGAATAGAGTGGCATAATCATGACTCATTGCAGCCTAGACCTCCAGGGCTCAAGTGATCCTCCCACCACAGCCTCCCAAGTAGCTGAGACTACAGGAGCGTCCCACCATACCCAGCTAATTTTTTTTTTTTTTTTTTTTTTGAGATGTAGTCTTGCTCTGTTGCCAGGCTGGAGTGCATTGGTACGATCTCGGCTCACTGCAACCTCCGATTTCCTGGTTCAAGCGATTCTCCTGCCTCAGCTTCCCGAGTAGCTAGGATTATAGGCACGTGCCACCACGCTCAGCTACTTTTTGTATTTTTAGTAGAGACAGGGTTTCACCATGTTGGCCAGGATTGTCTCGATCTCCTGACCTCGTGATCCGCCCGCCCCGGCGTCCCAAAATGCTGGGATTACAGACGTGAGCCACTGCGCTGGGCCTCCCAGCTAATTTTTATTTTTTTTGTAGATATGGAGTTTTGTCATGTTGCCCAGGCTGGTCTCAAACTCCTGGGCTC